AAAACAAAAACAACCACAATGAGATAAAAACTTACACCAGTCAGAATGGCTATTATTAAAAAGACAGAAGATAAGAGATGTCAACAAGGATCTGGAGAAAAGAGAACAAGTCTTACACACTGTTGGTGAGAATGTAAATTAGTATAACCTCTATGGAATCACACGGAGATTTCTTATAGATCTAAAAATGGAACTAACATTTTTGTTTTGTTTTGTTTTGTGTTCTTGAGACAGGGTCTTGTTCTGTCTCCCAGAGTAGAGTGCAGTGGTGTCATCAGAGGTCACAGCAACCTCAAACTCTTGGCCTCCAGTGATCCTCCTGCCTCAGCCTCCCAAAGTCCTAGGGTATAAAGTGTATTTATACCCTAGGTGTGAGTCATTGTGCCTGGATTGGACCTACCATTTGATTTAGCTATCTCCCTACTAGGTATCTACCCAAAGGAAAAGATATCATTATATTAAACAGATCCCTGCAGACATAGTTTATCACAGCACTATTCATGACAGCAAAGATATGGAACCAACATAAGCATCCATAAATGGGTGATCGGATGAAGAAAACGTGGTCTGTGTACATAATAGAATACCATTCAGTCACAAGAAAGAATAATATCATACCTTTTGCAGTAACATGGATGGAACCATAGGCTATACCTTAAGTGAAATAACTCAGACACAGAAAGTCAAATACCACATGTTCTCACTTACAAGAAGCGGGGCAGCATGTACCTGGGACGTAGAGCATGGAGTGACAGCTTTGAAGTGTGGGCTTCTGGGGGCAGGTGGATGATGAGAAATTAATTGGTAAGATGTATTTTGTATGATATTTGGGTGATAGAAACACTAATTTTGTTCTGGTTATATATTGTATGTATTATATACACATGGAACAAAATTACACGGGTACACCATAAATTTATACAAATAATTTTAAATAAGGAGTGCTACAACTATCAGTCCACTTGGCCTTCTACATACTCAGACAAAAATGGAAATTAAAAAAATTATTTTGTAGGCTGAGGCAAGAGAATCACCTAAGCCCAGGAGTTGGAGGTTGCTGTGAGCTATGATACCACAGCACTCTACTAAAGGTGACAAAGTGAGACTCTGTCTCTTAAAAAAAAAAAAAAATTATTTTCTATCTGTCTTAGAATGATTTCTTATTTAAAAAGAAAAAAAGAAAAGTATCTGATAATGTGGCCAAGCAAATCCCACTACAGCCTACTGTGAAATAGTCAAGAATTTTGTGACCTGCTTGTAAAACGCTTGGTAGTTTGAAATCAACTATGGTGGGAGTATTTATACCAAGGAAATGGGAAAACACTACAATGTAGGGATCTTTTTTTAAGAGCTAGTATGTCATCAGCACCCCACGGCTGAAGCAGTGGTCAGGGTTTACTATGAGTGTGCACAAGGACAGTGGAATGGCAGGCTAGCCTATTTCTTTTTGGTATTCTTTTCTAGTTATTACTTGGCACTAGCTGGTAAAGTGGCTTTCTCCTAAAACTGGCATGTATACTTCCCTAGGACCCGTAATTACAATAACAAAAGTAAACACACTTTAAGCTAAATTTTGCCTAACTCCTTTATCTACTTATATTTAGTTGTATTATATTTGAGCAGGAGCATCAGAGTCGTTGAACTAACCTTTAAGAAGGAAAGGTCATAATTCTTTTGCACATAGGTGATTTCCAAATTCCCCAGGACCACTTCACAGTTATTGAACATCCTCCGAAGGCTCAGAAAATGGTCTTCAAAAGTGCCCAACTGAGTGAGCTTATTACTTGTGCCTTGGCAAACTGGAAGAAAAGAAAGAGATAACATGTGAAATGCTAGAAAAAAGTAGAAAAACTAAAATAAGACAATATTTACTAACCTTATGACCTTTAGCAACTTACAGTATTAATTCTGATTAAAGGAAACATCAAGGCAAATGTGATAAAAATGTTTACAAGGTGAAATTTGTAATAAAAGATAGCTGGTCCTTAAAATGCATAGAATTATATTACATTAAAATACACAAAGAAAGGCTCGGCGCCTATAGCTCAACCAGCTAAGGCGCCAGCCACGTACACCTAAGGTGGCGGGTTCGAATCCCCAGCCCGGAC